CACTCCTGTTTAACATAATTTTGGAAAAATTAGCCACAGCAATTAGACAAGAGAAAGAAATAAAAGTAATAAAGATAGGAAATGAAGTCAAATTGTCATTATTTGCAGATGACATGATACTCTATATAGAAGACCATAGGAACTCCATCAAAGTCTTCTAGACTTATAAAGATAATTCAGTAGAGTAGCTGTATAGAATGTCAATACACAAAAATCAACAGCTTTTCTGTACACAAAAACAGACTCACTAGAGAGAAATGGGGCAATAAATTCCTTTCACAATAATATCCAAAAAATTGAAATACCTATGAAGCAACCTAACAAAAGAAATCAAAGACCTCTACTCTGAAAACTATAGCACTCTGATAAAAGAGATTGAAGAGGATATCAGAAATTGGAAAGATGTCCCCTGCTCCTGGGTAGGAAGAATCAACATAGTGAAAATATCCATACTTCCAAAACTGCTATATAGATTCAATGAAATCCCAACTGAAATACTGGCAGCATACTTCATTCATTTGGAAGAAGAGACCTGGAATAGCAAAAGCAATACTAAGCAATAAAGACAAGGTAGGAGGTATCACAATCCCCAACTTCAAACTATACACTTTTATCACTTACTGTGATAAAAACAGCATGGCACTGGCAAAGAAACTAGCCTGAGGACCAGCAGAACAGATTAGAAAATGCAGAGACAACTCCAGACACACTCAGCCACCTCATCTTTGACGAAGGAACCAAACACCCTCACTGGGGAAAGATAGCCTCTTTAATAAATGATGCTGGAAAAACTGGGTTTCAACTTGACAAAGATTAAAACTAGACCTATATCTCTCACCATGCACTAAACTAAAATCAAAGTGGATTAAAGCTCTAAATATTAAAACAGAAACACTGAACCAGCTGGAACAGAGGTTAGGTAGAGCTCTTGAAGACATTGGTGTAGGAAAACATTTTATGAACAAAACCTGAGTTGCCTGTGAACTTGCACAAACAATCAACAAGTAGAATCTCTTCTTACTAAAAAGCTTTTGCACAGCAAGAGAAACCACCAACAGAGTGAAGAGTAAACCTACAATGTGGGAAAAAATTTTCACCTGCTGTTCCTCAGACTCAGGTCTACTATCTAGAATCTATAAAGAACTTAAAAAGATCAGACTTCCCAAATTTAAATACTCAACCCAAAAATGGGCATGTGAAATGAACAAGCATTTTTCAGACAAAGCAGTAGAAATAGCACATAAACATACAAAAAAAATGTTTAACATCACTGGTCATTCGAGAGATGCAAATGAAAACAACGCTGAGATTCCACCTCACCCCAGAAAGAATGGCTTCTATCATGAAATCAACCAATAACAAATGCTGGCAGGGCTGAGGGAAAAGAGGAACACTGCTCCACTGCTGGTGGCAGTGTAGACTGGTGCAACCACTCTGGGAATCAGTATGGAGATACCTCAAAGAACGAGGACTGGAAGTCCCATTTGACCCCACTATTCCACTGCTGGGTATCTTCCCCAAAGAATTAAAAGAATCATACCACAGTGATATATGTGTACCCATGTTCATAGTAGTTTGTAATAGCTAAAATCTGGAAACAGCCCAAAGGCTCATCAACTGGAGACTGGATATAGAAAATGTGGGGTTTTATAAAATGGAGGACTACTCAGCCATAAAAAATGAGAAATTAGAGACATTTATACCTAAATGGATCCACATTGAGGCAATACACTTAAGTGAAATAAATAGGACACACATGTTTAAATACTGAATAGTTTCTCTTGTGTGAGAAATTGAATGTACAAATAAGGATTAAAAGGTATAATAGATAATATGAAATAGGAAGAAAAAGGGGCAAAGGGGAAGGGGAAGTGGGAGGGCTAGGGGAAAGCAAAGAAGGGAATGGAATTATTATGAGAAAATGAAAAAATGGAAACAAAGTCTTTGTAAATACGGAGGGGTGAAGGTATTGAAGGGAGGGCAGGGGAAGGGAAAAAAATAAGAACCAAGAGAGATTATGTAAAGGTGCAAATTTCCAGTCATGAATTTCTTTATATTTTATACCTAAAATGTACAATATACCAATAAAATTAATTTTTAAAATGAGAAGGGGATCAAGGGATGAGGAGAGGGAGAGCGAGAGAAGGGAAAGGGGGTGGGAAAATGAATTAAATTGTGTCATGTACATGCACCAACTCCACACAGGGAATATAAACATTACGTACTACAAACACTTATGAATTTAAAATGCACATAAAAAGTGATAGGGAAAAATAAATTGGAGTATAAATTTATATAAAATTATTTTCAGTTCTTTTTTCCCTTAAATGCATAGACATATTATTTACTCTTGAAATTCTTTATTGTGTGTGTTAGTGGGAGGCTTCTGTGAATTTTCTAGATTTAAGAAATGGTTATTAAATGAATATTTACTGAAGTCAAATTTTATTATAATTGTATGACCATCCTTTGTGCCCAAATGAATGTTTTTGCTCCCTCCTTTTCTCCCTCCCTCCCTCTCCTTCTTCTAACTGAAGTCCTTCCTTCCTTCTTTCTTTCTTCACTCCCTCTCTCCCTCCCTCCCTTCTCTCTCCCTCCATCTTCCTTTTCCTGTGAAGCTGAGGATTGAACTGGGTCTTATCCAAGTTATAACTCAAGTTGTACAGAACTGAGTTATGTTCCTAGCTGCAGTCATTTCAAAAGAGACCATTTTACCTGCCATCTTTTCTTTCTGGAGAGGCTATTTGACCTTTTTTTTTTAATTGTGGCTTTTTCTTAAATTTTCCTATGTGGAGAGAAGGATGTTGCCATTAACACCATCTATGTGCTGTTTCATGATATAAAGGACATTAGAAGGTTAGTGCTCCTCTATAGGTCCAAATCACTGTATTATGCATGCATTTACCTATGACTATGTCATAATCCATGCTGCACACATATTTTCCAGTTAGCAATAAATTAAACAAGGAAACTGGTACACAGAGATTCAAGTTTTAGGGAAACAGTTCTACATCAAATGTAACTATATATATATGTATCTTCTCTGTTTTTGTTGGAGCAAGTCCACACTGAAAAGATTTAGAAGAGCTCTGATTCACTTGAAATAAAATCTTGATTCATTCAAAGTGAAGTTCCCATGGAAACCATCCCTGAGCTGACAAAAGCCTCTAAAGAATTTGTTCTGCTGTTGCATCATGTATACAGCTATTCTCTAAAGCTCTTACAGGCTGGAAAGCCTTAACGAATCCCTAAGGTTTTGTCTGTTGTGGGTCTCAAGGAGCACTTGCCTTGTGGAAATTATTTGAAATTTTTGCTAATGGTCTGTTTTTCTATGCTTCTTTAATCAGTGCAGTGGGATTGAGATGAAGCATTATCAAAAGGTTGTAGATGAGCATTTCATCTTCCTTGGGGAGGATGATCTCTGGGCAACTATCCTCTGGGATCCTCTGTTACTAGCTCTCTGAGATCTTTAATCCAGAATAGAACTCTAGACTTGACTGTCTGTGATGTTTAGAAAGGAGGCTGCTCCTTCCCTGGTAGCTGTACAGGAGCCTCAGAGCAGCAGCACAATCAGAGATTATGTTCTTCAGTTCAGAAAGAGAAACAAGATAAGCATGAAGTCTTGATCCTAAAAGTGAAAAAGCAGAAACAGAGGGTCCTGGGCTCCAAGTTCCCACCTTCTTTCCCCTAGGGCCATTTGCATTTTCATGAAGGCCATGTGTGGGAGGCAGGGAGGGCAGCAATGTGGTTCCAAGCTGAAGAGGTGAGTGCCTTCCTAAACTGCTGTGCCTGCAGAAGAGTTGGTAGAAGCTCGAACACAGGAGTCAATGACCAAAGTTCACCTGAACCCCACTGGCATTGGGACTTTGTGCAAGTTGCTTTAGGTATCATTTTACATCATCTGCAAAAGGAAGAGCATGGTAATGCCACACAGTATTTAGAGGAGTGTCTAGCCCATAATTAACACTCAGTGAAGTTTTTTTCCTCTCTTTCCACTCACTTCCCTCCCATGAACTTCCACGATGGATAGCTTCTCTCTCTTAATGACACTTTTCTTTTCCCCTCACAGAATCTCCTAGAGGAGAATGGCTGCTGAGAACACCTCCTCAGTGACAGAGTTCATCCTCCAAGGCTTAACAGACCAGCCAGGACTCCAAGTCCCTCTCTTTTACCTGTTTCTAAATTTTTATGTGGTCACAGTCCTGGGGAACCTGGGCTTGATAACTCTGATAGGGCTGAACTCTCACCTGCATATTCCCATGTACTTTTTCCTCCTCAACTTGTCTTTCATAGATTTTAGTTACTCCACTACTCTTACCCCTAAAATGCTGATGGGTTTTGTCTTAAAGAAGGACACCATTTCCTATATAGGGTGTATGATTCAATTTTTTTTCTTCTGTTTCTTTGTTTTTTCTGAATCCTATATCCTGCCAGCGATGGCATATGATCGCTATGTTGCCATCTGTAAGCCACTATTGTACACGATCATCATGTCTCCCCAGCTGTGTTTACTCCTTCTGTTGGGTGTCTATGGGATGGGGGGTTTGGGGGCTGTGGCCCATATGGGAAACCTGATCCTTATGACCTTTTGTGCAGACAACTGCATCAATCACTATATCTGTGACATCATTCCACTCCTTGAGCTGTCCTGCAGTAGCTCTTACATACATTTGTCAGTGGTCTTTATTGTTGTGGCCATTGGCATTGGAGTTCCCATTGTTACTCTTTTTATATCCTATGGTTTCATTCTTTCCAGCATTCTCCACATTAGCTCCACTGAGGGTAGATCCAAGGCCTTTAGTACCTGCAGTTGCCACTTAATTGTGGTATCTCTTTTCTTTGGATCTGGAGCTTTTATGTATCTCAGACCACCTTCTATTTTGCCCCTGGACCAGGGAAAAGTGTCTTCTATTTTCTATACTGCTGTGGTGCCAATGCTCAATCCATTAATCTATAGCCTGAGGAATAAGGATGTCAAAATTACCCTGAGGAAAACCTTGAGCAGGAAAATCTTCTCTTGAAAGTAATAGAGAAAAAGGATCCAAAATTTTATTGGAGTGTTCTTTATTCATTTTTGTCATTAGTGATCTCTTACCCTTCACTTATAGGAAATTCTAAGATCATGTTTTTAAGTATACCTATTCTCTCTACTGCTTACCCTCCCAACTATTCCAACCATTCTTCATTTTATTGATATGATTTCTATAGTAATAGAGAATTTAATTTTTACTAGGTTTAAGAAGTCATTAAGTCCAGCTCTGCATACACATACCTTACCCACCAGAGATTCTTAAATATTTCGTAGGTTGTACAAGGGCACACATATACTTGATGCCACAACTAGGACTGGAATCCAGGCCCTTGAATTTTAATCCAATTTACTCTACCTTCTTTTACCTATGCTTTCTCATTCTATCTTTTCCATGGCCAATTTCATTTCTAAGTTTATTGCTGTTTAAATAAATTTAATTGACATTTAAATAAATCTAATTATATTCACAGTCATTTCATGCAACTATTCATGGATTAATTTTTGAAATATTGTTTTTGTGTGTTGGAGTATGAAAAAAGTATGTTGGAGGTGAAAAAAGGTTGTTTTGGACTTGACCAAAAGATAGATGTTTTACAAATGTTGGGGCATGAGAAGGGGCACTATGTTAGTTTCCATATAGAATCAGCCATCAATGTTCATTAAAATGTTGTGCAGAGCCCTATGGACTCAGGCTAACTTATTATGCCTTAGATATACAGACTTAAATGATGAGGATACTGAATACAAGCTTCATTCATTATTTCCAAACAAATGGAAATAGAACTTGGAGCCTCACTTCAAGGGTCTGAATATGGTACATTCGTAATAGCTTGGAATGTGTGTGAGCCATTAGATTTGTAGCAACAAATCATTAGGGGAGACAAGTGCTATTATATTTTAAGGCATTATATATATCAGTGATATTCTAATACTAGAGTATAAAGGAAAGGGATAGGTCATAATTCAGAGAATTGAGTAAATGAAGGTACAGGTTTATATAGGGAATCAGAAGGTGGTCATAGTTCTTTTTGAAGCAATGACATGTTTACTCTCTGGAAGCTCCTTGGATTTATGAACTTTTCTTTGTAAAGTTCTTTTAGGAAAAAAAGGAAGTTTGGACAAAATGTTTATTTTTCCCCCTTTTGGAATGGTGTCAGTGTCTAACCAAAAGAATGAAACAAAGTGCAGAGAAAGACTGTACTTTGAATAATGTAATGGAATTCAGGACCCTTATGGATGAGTGTATTGAGGGGGCGGTGGGAAATCAGTACGTTATAGGTAAATAAAATAATATCCTACCCCCTTTTAAACTGAAGTGTAAATTTATACCTAAAAATGCACAAATTTAGATGTGCAATGAACTTTTTCTCTTATATATGGGCATGGATACATACTACTACCTAGACCTAGAAATAGAAAATTTTCATTGCTTAAGAATTTTCTGCCTGCTCTTTCCTAAGTAAACACTACTCTTTACTCTCTTTCTGGAAATATCTACTATTTTTATTCTTATCATCAAAGATTCATTTTGCTCATTCTTGACCTTTATATAAACAATAAGTAGCATATGTATTTATTTTATTTTATTGTTTGGGGTATTAGAAACTGTTGAATTCATGCTAGACATGTGTTCTACCATCAAGCTAGATCTTCAGCTCAGCACATTTAGTTTTAGTGCCAGGCTTTTTGCCAAATATAGAATATTATGTGAGGTTCATCTACAATTTTGTTCTTATTGTTTAGTTTGTGTTTTTTGTATGATTATATAGCAACTTACTTATCAATTATCTTCTTAATAGACATTTGGTTTGTTTTTAGTTTCTACATCCTATTGATAAGGTTACTATAAAATTCCTGAAAAATGTGATTTATTTGTGTACACTTACTCCTCTTGGGTATCTATTTAGATGTAGATTTATTATGTCACAGGATAAGCATATGTTTAAGATTATAAATATTACCAAATTATTTTTCTGATTTGCACCCTCTTCAATAATTTTTAGGTCAGAATGCTCCTTTTCCCATAGGAACACATAATCAAATCATCTGCAAATAAAGACTGGTGTGGTTCTTCCTAATGATCTTTATTTCCTTTATGTTCCTCAGTGCACTAAGACCTGCAATATAATTCTGAATAGAAGTAAGAAAAATGGTTTCTCTGTCTTGTTCTTGTTTCTGACTGTATGGTAAAAGCATTTCACTTTTGAATATGATGCTTGCTGTAGGTGATTTTGTTGCTTTGTTTTGCAGATAGAAATGCTCAGATTATGGGTGGATAATTAATAATTTCAATTGGATTTTTTCCTTGAGAATGTATGTATATGGTAAAAAAGTTAAAAATATTAACTCTTTAAAAATAAGCTTTTAGTTCTCCCATGCTTATATTCTTTGTAAGTGCAATGATTCCCAGCATTGGTATAGGCTTATACAAATATGTTTCTGTCTGTATTTTTATATGTATATGTCCATATTTATCTTTTTGGTGATAAATTCAAGACATTTGTAGGAGAATGGATACACCTTGAAAGTATATTCAATGAAATAAATTAGATGCACAAGCTTAAATAGCATATGGTTTCTCTCATATGAGTTATCTAAAATAAAAATAAAGAGCAAAACAAAGGTTGATAAAAACAAACAAGAAGAGAGATCATTTACAAGTAGGAAGGGGACCAAGAGATGGAGGGAGGGCACATAAAAAGATTTGAAATGCATCATATAAATGTACCAACCAGCCACAATGAATGTAATCATTGAATGTCACAAACAATGAACTAAAAAACTAGATAAATAGTGAAAATAGAGAAATGTGATATAGAGACAGGGGAATGGAAGTGAATGGGGAGAGGAAGGGGAATAAAAAATAAATCAAGATAAGTTAAGCACATGTATGCATTTCCTAAGATAAATGTAAGCATCATGTGCTGCAAACATGTACAGATAAAACATTCTAAAAATTTAAAAAATTGTACAAAAGGGCATTTAAGAATGTGTCTTCCAATAGAAACTGTGTAAATACATAAGTAAATAAATAAAGGAATACAGGGGATCACTGAGCAAGAGGAAGAAGAATCAAGCACAGAAAGGCATGAGAGAGAATGTATGATAGGAAAGAACAGGGAAGATTATGTAATACAGCAAACTCAATAATTTCAGCCCTGGTAACATTTTTATTTTCTCTTTGTTTTCTCTCTCCACTCTATGGTTTAACTATCTCTGGTTTTTGGGTTTTTGGGGGGGTTGGTTTGTTTTGTTTTTTGGTACCAGGTATTGAACTCTGGACCTTACGCTTGCGAGGCAGGAGGCAGAACCACTGAGGTAAATCCCAATCCCTGGCCTGGTTGTTTTTGTATTGGGACAAGAGTCATTGAATACTTAATGTACCAGAAAGGCAAATATTTGTGATTCAACAAACACTGATATGTTAACTCATTTATGTACTAAAAATAAGTGTTGGTTTAATCTCCAAGGAATAGAGAGTTTGAAAGGTATTTCATCCTCACAGCAAATAAAAAATGAAAGCAAGAAAAGCAGTTATTCTTGGAGCCACTATAGAATTGCTATTACACAGGACAATCTGATTCCTTAAAATCTGGAGAGAGAGGTGAAAGCAGAATCTGAGTTTACCTGGAGTAAAAGCTGTTTGAGCTGGTGTGGGTGAGTATGTGTGAGTGTGTGTTTGGAGGACACTTAAGTGGTAACTGATGAATTACTGGCAATTGAGTAAGAACTAGCTTTAAGCATACAAACTCCTGGAGTCTAAGTCTTAAAACAGCCTGATGTCTGCATGGATTTTACCTCCAGGAGCCCCAGTAGATTCTTGTGGTAAAGATCAGAAATAGTTTACTCAACTGTTGGACCCACAGGAGTGGAGAAAAGTAACCATTCTGAAATACACTCAGAGCTTTTGGTGCTCTGCTAGCCCTCCCAAACATTGCTATACCACAGCCTATATGAGGTTAGGGGAAAGGCTCAGTCCAACTCTAATCCCCACTAGGCCTCCTTTCTAACAAAGCGCATTGAAAGAAATGAAAAGCAATTGTCAAGGTCACAGCCATAGGAAATAAGCACATCTAAAATGGAGACCAAGTCACAGGAATGTAGAATACTCCCTTCCTCTTGCTTTACCATCACACTGACAAATCCCCTCTTCAATAATAGGAGAATAGAGCAGAAGGAACTGAAAGGCCCAGACTCTACTTAACATATTTTCTAGAAAGTTCAAGGACAACAAGCCAGATAAAAATGATACTAGAGGAAATTGAGGGCCGGGGATTTAGCTCAATGGTTCCGCTGCCTGCCTTGCAAGTGCAAGGACCCGAGTTTAATCCCTAGTACCAAAAAAAAAAAAAAAAAAAGGAAATTGAAGCTTCAGACACCTATAGCTACAGGAAACAGATAACTCTCAGATAAATGTTAAACTTCCCATTAAATCACTGTTGTAGTCACGTTTTACAAGGGAAAAGATGTAATACAGGACACATAATTTATAGGATTATTTTATAATATTCACCCAAAAAGTCAAATGCCAAAGAGTGCAAAAGATCTGTCCAAATGCTAGAGAACCAAAGAATCCAGCCAAGGCCCTGATCCCATGGCAATGTCCCACATGAGTCCAGCTGAAGGCCTAGAGTCCACAGCAGTATCTCACACTTGTTCATATCAAGAATCTGCACCAGGAAGGCCCAAAGGCCAGTAGTGGAAGCTAGAGAGTCTGCGCAGGCAGGATGAAGTGTCTGTGCTACCAGACTGAGGGATCTGCACTGAAGCCAGGAAATGACGTGCAGGGCAAAGACCAGAGCCCCCCCAAAGAGGACAGCAGCCATCCCTGGTGACTGTGAGGACCTGAACTCCTCCAATGATGAGGAGAACAGCCAAATTCACATCAGGAAACCGGCTGCAGCAAGCCTCCCTGGGAAAATCAACAGTCTATGATTTTCTCCTCCAGTTCTCTTTTTATGCCCTTGGCAACAGTCTTTAGGTGGGTCT